AAATATGATTAGGGCTAGGCGTTAGACGAGGAGAGAACAGTCCGTGGTACAATCTTCTTTTTCATTTCCCCGGGACTTCCTCCCACTGGCCTGAGCTTAGTCCTAGCTGCTCACTAGGTGAATATTACTTCCTTAAAGGACAAACAAACTAAGAAATAATGCGGAATAAGCAGATAGCACTTCGTAACCTTAAAGGTATCCTTGACCCAAATAGGCATTACGAGAGCAGATTGTGTACTGTAATACTACCGGATGAGACCCATAAGTCCTCCCACTCCCTCCCAAACATCATTACACGCTCGCTAGCGCTCAATTTTTGTCATAAATCACGATCCCTACTTAACCCAAGGAACACTAGGCGTCACAAAGCGCAACACCGACCGCCCCTCCCCCCCCCCCCTCCACCTCCACCTCACCATTTCTCGTAATGTACAAGCCAGTGCAAAAGTGCAACTCCCCTGCCATTTCAAATGGAAGCCGACTCAGGCAGAGCACAGAGAAGAAGGGCAGACCCGAAGCAGAGTGTGTGCGAAATGGAGACGCAGAGCAATCGCACGCGGAGCGGCCGAGCGGCGCGTTCGAATTTCTACTCGGGAGCTAAGCGCCTTTCCGAAGGAACACCGTACCGTGAGCTAATATTCAGGTGAGCCTCGGTTTATTCGTCTTTCTGGTCAGTGTTTGCGGAATGTCTACTAAAAGACATGAGGAACATCCTCGGGTTTCACTCACCTGCTTGGGTCATTCCCAGTGCTCGAAAGGCTCCTGGGGTGGCGCAAATCGTATCAGAAGTGGGAGTTTTCTGTGGTTTGTTCTCTGGTTTTCTCTAATTCCTTGAATATTTTAGAGATACGAAGTTTACGCGAGCCACTTTTGTTGTGAAGTAGTATCAGGAGCTTCCCGGCTTATTTGAAGTCTATCTCTTTAACACTGGGTAAGGATGTTTTCAGTTGTAAGCTACAATACCGGAAATTTTTGATCAAATTAAGATCTTATGTGACATTTATGAAGGAGAAGTTGTTGGACGAGTTTTTCCATCATTTCGCTTTCATTCGAATGAGTTTCACCAAGTTGTTTGAGGGGGTTGAACTGTGTTCAGAGACTTCAGGAAGAATACAAGCTTAGACGAATAGGACACCTTCTGATTTCTTGATTTGGTCTGGATCTCCTGTTCTAATCAATACATATTTTAGTGCTATACAAGTAGGGTAATGTCGCCGCATTTTTTGAACAGAAAAGTATGTCAGTGGACTGCTGCTCGCTACTATACTGTCACGAGAATTGGGGAGTTCGTGAGCCAGGGGGAGTGTAGCCAATCTAGGGGGTGGGGGTGAGGGCAGTCACTTGACATGCGTGAAAAGCTGGGTGTGCCCACCCCACTTGTATAGCACCGTTGTTTTCCTCTGGATCGACATATTGTTCTGATTTCTTGTAATACGTTGAGTGTGAACAGGACCTCATAATCACTGAACTTCTTAACGAAGAGGTGCCGGTGCTGTACAAGTACGGTGGACATGCCGCATTTTTTGAACAGAAATATATGTTAGCGGAACTGCTGGCCCCACTACTATACTGTCACGAAAATCCGGGAGTTCGAGCCAGGGGGAGTGTGGTCAGTTTATCAGTTTAGGGATGGGGGTGAGGGGTGAGGGCAATTATTTGACATGCGTGAAAGACTGGGCGGGGTGTGGTCCACTGCGGTAGAAAGAAAGTGGGCGGAGTTGTCGTGAACAGAAGGGACCGTTTCGTGTTTTCGCAGCTGCACGACGTTTACTTAGCCTGCGCGACCTCGGGTACGCGATCGATCAGAGAGTGGACCTGAGGTCCCCAACGAAAAATGTTTTGCGCTGTGAAACGCGGAGAATTGCTTTCCATCCTAGTGAACCACGCCCAGCTGGGCGAGCCCACCCCACTTGTATAGAGCCGAGCGGGAGTGGCTCACTAGGACAGAATGTGACTTTTTCGCGTTGCAGCGCCCCACGCCGAAACATATTGGAACTCCAGTCCACTTGTGATGCGGTGGACCTGAGATTCCACAGTGAAAAATGTTTCGCGCTGCGAAACGCGGAGAATTCGCTTTCCGTCCTAGTGAAACACACCCGAGCCGAGCTTCCATGTAACTACAACTATAAATCATTTTGAAACACTTGCCTGAGAGATATGCCGTTGAACGAAAGTAATTCAGCTATAGGATAGTAAACATAATATAGTTGTACTGCTAGCTCTTACAGGAGGTTATTGCTGCATATGCTGTTTTTCGGTGCACCAAGGGAAAGCTTTCAATTCATACGTACCTCGGCTCGAGTTTGAGGAATCGTACAGGATCAATGGTTGAATTTTGTTCACAGAGAAGTTTTGGGAAGTGTGAGTAAACGGGCAGTCTGTGTTGAGGAGGGTAAAGTTGTCAGTATGTCAGTGGTGCGAATCAAGCCTCCGACAAATTGGAGCGCTCTGCGAAAAACTAGTCCAATAGCATGCCTTGGTGCAGATATGTGGTAGTTTATAACTGAGTATCATATTAGTTTAGGCTTGCTTGAACCTGTGCTAGATGACATGGAGGCTCCAGGCCCTTCAGAAGCGTCACCAGAATGTGAGTTATCCATCTATCTTCCAACACCCTATCTGAAGTCAGCATCTAATTCGACACCCCTTCGTTCTAATAAAAATTCGCTGCTAAACGCTCGGTTTTCTGAGCTGTCACAGTTATTGCCAGAATATGCATCGTCATATTAAAAACTTTGAAAACTTTGACCACCGAATATCGCACTTGATTGTGTGGTAGTCACGGAAAGTTACAATCTCCTGCTACCACTCCTTATGCACCCGAACTCCCTAATACGAAATCACTAAACATTCCGCATGTTTGGAGCGATTTTAAAATCTCATAAGTAATCTCGAACTATTTTAATCGCTAGGTTTCAGGCTCTGCATCAACAACCTCTGCCATGGACCAAATGCAGGAGAGCCTGGTGAAACCTGATGTCAGCGAAAATCAGTCATCTCACGATTTGGAACCCTCGACTCCGATCCGCATCATGTCCACTGTTACACCAGCTCGAGAAACTGCTCACCAGCCCCGCCTTCCACCAGGAGTTCGAGTTGTTCGAGGGTCGTCAGCCAGTGCAACAGCGTCTGCTATGCGCGCACCGACACACCAAGTGCGTACAGTTTTGGGCACTGGTGCCTCCCATCCAGGACGCATGGTGGCTTCCGGTTCCACATCGCCAGGCTCATCAGGAGGGATTCGCAACGCTCCTATCAGAACAGTGGTAGGTGCTGGGCCTGGAATGCGTGTTATGCAACAAGGAGGACGAACGTTGATTGCGGTACCAAGTGGCTCCCGCCTGGCCGCTACACTTTCATCTGTGGCTGCTCGAGCTGCTCCTGTTGAGCTTTCCACCTCCGGTAGCTCTGGTCCTGCTCTTGCTGTTATTGATGTTAATCGGTCGAAATCTAATGCGAAACTGGATTGCGGCGAGCGTGTTGCCGATGAGACCATGGGCACATCTATGCATACGGATTCTGACGACGTTCACAGTGGTAATGAGACTGCCGGTGGGGTAATGGAGGGCATGGAAAGTGTTTCATCTGTAGATGGATCAACTGCTTCAAACTCTCCTCAACCGAATGGTTCCGTTACCATATCACCGGAGACAATGACCGAGGACAAGCGAAAAGGCGTGGAAGGGCGATTAAATTCGGCTGGTATGGTCACCAGAAGGATGACGCGTGGCGCAATGCTTCCCTCGGTGATAAATTTAGCAGCGGATTCTGCAAGAATTGAACATCCGGGCGCGCCCCGTCGAAGAGCAACGAAAAGGCCAAGTTCGTCTTTGCAAATATGACTCTGGTAACTAGTGAGACTACTCAGTACTAATGATTTCAGAATATTCTCTTGCTACTGGCGATTTGGTTCGTGCTCAATATATTCTGCCCTCTGACCAATTGCCTCGACGATCTACTATTCCACGTGAGGAGAACCCGCTGACCATCACCGAGCAGGCACGGCTGTCTCGAAGACCAATTAGTAGTTCACTCGGTAATCTAAATGTTCTCATTTTCTACTATGAATCCTTCTTAAAACACATAGGAGAATATCTGTGATTGTCGAGGGTATTTGGTAAATCGATAAGGGCTGATTTGGGCTGATTCAGCTGAGTGCTCTC